ACCTATTAAGATCATTTTAGTGAAAGTTTCATGTTCCTATCTCATATAATTTAAGAACAATGATGAATAAATCATTTTCGAGCAAAATTTAAATGGCCGGCTGAATATATTACCGCCGGAGACACGGCAGCGGAATTTAAATGGCCACGCAAAAGGGTTAATGTTGGAAATGGTGTTTTCTACTTGATCCATATGAAGGGTTTTTTTATTATTTTTTTTATTGCTAGTGGGGTGGGACGAAGTCCCTTGTACTGCGGCCACTTCTGGTCTATTTTACCAGCACCAGATAATAGGTGAGGGTGATTGTGGAGCAGTTGGTGGAATGAAGATTGGCAGGGGAAATCGAAGTACTCAGAGAAAACCTGCCCCAGTGACACTTTGTACACCACAAATCCCACTTGACCAGACCCGGGATCGAACCCAGGCCGCCATGGTGGGAAGCCAGCGACTAACCGCTTGAACTGTGGCTCCCTGCTTGTGAAGGGGTTGCAAAGAAAACAGTTGGGGGGGCACCCAGCCAGTTGAGAGCTGAGTTCTGCAAGGGAGACTGAGAAGAGATCGTGCTAAGGTTCAGTTGACTGCAGCTGTGGGATATTTACTGAACAGTAACGATATGAACACAGAAATGAAGAACCTCAATTGTTGAGAGCTGTTACCAAGCAATGACTAGTGAAGACACTGCAGGCTGGAGAAGACTTAGCATTTACTTACTGGTAGAGTATGGAGATCAGAAATAGTGCTATAAGTGCTTGTAGTTCCAAGTCATATAAATGATCAGTAAATCCATTCACCAATCCAAGCCCCATCTACAGTCACATCCTGAAGTTTTACTAACACTTTCATATGGGAGTGAACTGCAGCTGATGGAAAGAAATTTAGGAGACAAATGGCAAAATACACTTGAATGGACCATGAAGGAAGTGAAAACATATTGTCGCATGTTTTTAATCTGGAAGTGATACGTTTATGGGAACACAATAACAACAGACTGTTGCGTAGGAATATCCGTAACAGCGAGTGTTTGTTGCGTAACAATGCAATAACAATGGGCAACAGCCAAAAAAACAAATGTGTTTCCCCAGAGATGAAAGGACAACAGAGGATTCATTGCATGACAACGTCTGAGACAAGGTTATAAAACTCCAGCTTCAACCCAGCACGGTCTTAGCTCAGTGGAGACCTAGTGTGAGAGCTGGAATATTAAAATTAATGAAGATAAGACTCAAGGGGCCTACTTCGCTTGTGGTTGTTGACCGCCTGAGTCTTGTCTCACTCTAAATGGATGAAATATTCCATTTGTAAATAGTGCAAAATATCTAGGTGTAACCTTCGATAAGAGAGTTAATGGAGATTGCACATAGAAATGATCAAAGCCAAGGCCTTTAGAACATTCATTAGACTATATTCCCTATTCAAAAGGAGTGATTAAGCGCTAACATTAAAATGACCCTCCACAAAGCTCTTATTAGATCCGTAATGACTTATGCTAGTCCCGCCTGGGAATTCACAGCAGACACTCATCTAGTGAAATTGCAGCGCCTGCAAAACAAGGTTCTCCGCACCATTGGCAATTTTTCAAGGTGCACACCGGTCCGTGATTTGCACGTGGCATTCAAAATCCCGTACGTATATTACTATATAACAAAATTATGCAGGAAACAAGCAGAAGTCATACAAAATCATGAAAATGAGAATGTTTGCAACATCGGACAAGGCAAAGCCTGACACAGGAAGTATAAGAGGCTTAAACTTGGTGGCGGTCAGGCATACGACCGTTCAAGTGACTAGACTGCCGTGGTAGCAAATACTACTAGAAATAGGGCATAATCTGCTGTACTGAGCCTGGATTGACAGAGGCCTTGTATAGTATATTGTACAAAGATATAGGAATTAAGAGTAAATTTGTAAATATATTAAAATACTGACACTAATACGGACTATGACTGACAAATGACAGACCTGACCTCTCGTTAGAGAGGGCGCCCCAAATGGACAGGACAGTAACTTTCATATAAGAAAAAAAAAATCTGGTCATGAACCCCAGCTGGGGCTCGACATCAAGACAGACAGACTGACTGACCGTCAGTCGCAATTTGACTTGGACTTGGACTTGGAAGAGACGAGTTCAGTTTGTGTTTGACCTTCGAAGAGATCAGTCAGTAGTAGCCAGTCTTCAGTTTGGCTTCAACTATAGCAGGAGCAGTAATTGAGATATTGAAGTTGTGTATAAGTGTACGAGTGTGTGTACATATAATCATCCAATAAAAGAATTTGTTCCGATCCGAAGACCCACACAATTTATTAGTGTTGAGTCACACCAATAGTTCTGAATAGAGAGAGAAATTGTTAATCAGCCTGAGTGGTGGGGCTAGATGAAAATAAGAATAGAAACTGGGGGGACCCACTGGAGGTGAATTAACCTAAGAAAAACACAACCAAGATGGAGATTATGATCACGGGCTGAACACATTTTAGAAGTCTGCACACTCAGCACATTGCCCTGAAGCAGCTAGAGGTCTGTCTTGCCTCCTGAATGGCTTTGCCACAGCTAAAGCAGTTGTCAGCTGCAAGTCCAGGTTGTGAATACACAGTTCACCTGTGGGCAAGGAGAGGGGGAAGAACACAGGGCCTACAGGAAAGTGTCTACAAATCTGTTTCAGGAATAGGATCCACCGAGGCAAGCAAGGCATGCTCAGCTAGATGATGATGGTAATGATTAAATTTAACTTAGCCATATATATGCGAGTGAGAATGTGTGATTCTAATTGGGAGACATTTCTCCACAAGGAAAACCAAGCCTACCTACACCATTGTAATTAGTCCACACCAGCCTGTTGACTTGCATAATGTAGCATGTAGAGCCATTTCTGTGCGACGACTTCGAGATAGTTGAATGTACATGAGATGTCTCTAGACTACAGCTCAGTATATATATGTTCCCGCAACAATAGAGGTACTGCTGGAAATGGAGTGTTTCTACATGATCTTTGCCGAGGAGTTATCTTGAAGACAATTGGGGCTACCAAGTGAGTGGGAAAAGGCTTAGAAGGTGCTGTGGTGATTAGTGATTGTGCTATAATTACTTGTACTTATGAGTCATGTGTATAAGTGGTCAATAAATCAAATATCCTATCCAAATCTCCATCAATAGCCACCCATACACATGACAGTAACATACAGGACATGTAAAACATTATGCCTTGTGTGGTATAATGTGCTTACAGGACACTATTTGCTTTTAGACATCTGTGGGGAAATCAAATACACATGACAGAATGTTAACAACTGAATTTAAAGACCTATGCATCCACTTGCCATAATTTTTCCCTCTGTATGGACGAGCAGACATGTCAGATTATTGAGCCTTGTTCTGTATGTATGCATATTGTGACATATAGACCCATTGCTAGGAGGTGACTCTGTAAACATCAGCCATTGCAAGGTGATGCCTGCACTCAACAATGGAGGAGGTGTCATGATATGTGATATGTATAGCCATTTCTATGGAGCACCTGCAGTTTACGCATGCTCAGCGATGTCATACAACATTAACAGAGGTGATGTAGGTGGTGTTTTCTGTAGATCCGCTCTGAGGCTATATGTCTCCACCAATCATGTTCTGTTGAACGAGTGAGTGCAGTGTAGTTGAGAGTGCAGCTGTGATGTGTTAACCAGTGGTCAGCAGAATTTAAGACTCGTTACCACAAATGTCTAGCGAAGACACGGCAGAGGAATACCCATTGTGAAGAGCTGTAAAGACTAATGAAAGTAGATTGAGAAGACTTGGCGTGGAGTGTTTTGTAGTGTGGATGGAAATGAGCAATAGTATAATAATTATTTGTAGTTACAACCTGTAAGTTGTCAAAAAATTATTCGCCATTCCAAACCCTGTCTGTCATCACTAATACATGTGACAGTATATTTAAGTTCTTTTCATTGTCATGAAATCAATTCATTTATCATAACAATATGAGGATAAACTATGAAACTTGTGGGAATGTAGAACATAGTCGAAGCAGAATTCATTCAGAAGTGCAGAGATAATAAATTGTTCACAATCAATGTTTAACATAATACAGATTTGTGATGGACAGAGCCATCTGGTAAAACTTTTTAGCAAAATATTGTCATGTAGTGTATGTGTGCCTATAGATTTGGTTTGGTTGGTGACTGAATTTATTGGCCACTTATACATACAACTCAGAACTATAAGCAATTACAGCTCCACCTCTAATCTCCACAAATCACAACAGCACCAGGAAAGCCTCTTTCCAACCTGCTGTGTCTTCACTAGCTGTTCCCTGGCACCAGCTTCGAACAGTGGAGATTCTTCATCTGCAATGCACAGGTCCTGTCTTTACAGCCTCCCTTGCAGAAGTCAACTGAATTGGGTCTAACCTTGTCCCTTGCTTATAACATCTTGGCACGGACCATGTAGAAACACCCATTTTCCTTTGTTATAGTCCATCTGTTGCATTACTAAGAATCTGCAACCTAGCAATGGAAAACATGTTTACCAAGCTGTTACCCAGAAACAGTCACTTTTTGCAGGGTCACCACTTAGCAGTGGGTCTGTATGCCACAACATGTAATTAACCTTTAACATCCAAAGTGCCCCGATCAGGCCAATGATGAGTATGGTCGTTGTGGCCAAAGTACCCCGATTTGGCCAGTCGGGCATTTAAACTCCGCTAGTGGAAGCGCATGCACAGTCCTAAATATTTATTTTTAAATGTAGTAATTACCAGACAGACTTGAGTAAAACCCTAATAGAGGAATTAAAATGATACCTAAATGAAAAACAACAATAAGAATATACATATGAGTTATGCCCAAACTCATCCACAAGCCAGTACTTTTATTGCAGATTCTGCAGATTAATGTGTTAAAAATATATAGTAAAATTTGATGTACATACCTTTTTTTGTTGTTATCTGCTTGATGTATATATAGGCTGAAATGAAACTACAGTATTTGATTTCACTATGAATGCACAGAAAACAGATTGCACTCTGTATCTCAGCCATGATGCAACTTTCTGTTCACGACCCTAGAAGGGGCAGTAATCTCTTGCAGCTATAACGGAAGGTCTTAGCACTGAAGAAGGGACCCCTCTAGCTTTCCCTTGAATATCCATGCCTTCATTCTTCTGTCCTTTAGTCAAAAGATTCGAAAATCTGAGGAGTGTAAGAAAGACGTGAAACTTGCCGGCAGAAGAGCAGATGATTTTGTTGCTTCCATCTGTTTTATGACACCAGGGACTGCTAAAATATGTCAAGTGTTACAAGCAGGTCTGATCTTATAATGCAGAACAACTCTGTGAAGAACAGGGAAACCATTTTTACAGTACGCATAAAAAAAAATGAAAATAGAATATAACTTTATGTATAAACATTTTCAAGTCTTGTGTTATAATATGCGACACTATGTTCTTTGCTGATACAAACAAAGTTAATGTCATCCATTTATCATAAAAATTGTGTTAGATACAGCATTTTTAAACAAAATGGTTAAAATTGTTTAAGCGCCCTAACAGGAATGGATATTTAAACGCGCACCAGCAGCAATGGGCATTTAAATAAACTCCGGTCAGCTCAAGCTTACCACCATTTCAAAAGTCTGTCGTTTAAAGGTTAACAGCCAGAAGTACCATTTTTTGTCTGGCATATGATTAATTTTCTCGGTGAGTATCACACTGTAGAATAGCTAAAACTTTAAAAAGTCAATAGCATTCAAATAAAGAAATTACTATTTGCTCATGTAATAAAAGAACAAGATTGTAAAAGCATACAGTGTGCATTTAAAAGGCACTTTGGCAATTGTACGCTCTGACTATGAAATAAATGATTTCATTGTTTTGAAAACCTGATTTTGGTCTGTCTTTTTGTTTACGAGAAAATACAGGTATGTATATGTGTTGTATACGTGTGGTAACTTTGTCCTGTTACAAGGACCTGATTTTCATTTGGAACAAAACAGTCTGTTTGTGCAGAAGCCAGCAGTGTAACACTGTAAGTGCAGAGTTGCTGAACAGGTAGGAGGGCGAACTCATTCCATGGCTTTGAAGAGTGTAATTCTGCCTGTGACACCTCTTTTGGTAATATCTTATGAAGCGTACAAGTTTTGAAGCTTCTCATTAGGCAGTTTTCTTCACTCTCTTTTCACTTCCACCATTTTAGGTCCAAATATTGTCCTTTGCATCCTGTTCTCAAACACCTTCAATCTATATTCTGCCCTTAATATAAGAGTTTCACAACCATACCAAATGGTTAAAATTATTGTCTTTTATGTTGTATTCTTTACCATTCACATAAGAGAACGGAAGACAAAACATTCTGAACTCAATAATGCAAGGGTTCTGTGAATTAACTCTGTTCTTTATTTTATTATGACTGAACTTCTAATTTTTTTGCTTCCCCCAAATATTTAAACACTTTGGAGGATTTGTTAAAACAGCCAATTATAAGAAACAACTTTAAAGTAACCATTATGTTTTATGTTTAGGATTTGGTGGGAAGTATCCATCAATAAAGAAACTGGAACATGCTTTGGAGGATCAGATATACCATATCCTGCGTAAGAGCAGGGTCATCACTAACATCAGGTATGACTTGACATTCAGTCTTGTTCAGGCCTTTTTCATTATTTATGAACATATGGTTTCAGTAAATTCTGTAGTCCTGTTTCATTATGTTCCAACACAATTGACATGTGCAATATTTCCATTCATTGCACTTGTGTATTCCCAGAAAAGAATTCGGTAGGTATTATTCCGGGTACCAAGGAGGCTACAAAGTAAGACCTAACAGCCTTTGAAGCTTTTCATTTAGAGCAGCACAGCTTTGCTAAAGTGGGGTACTGAACTGTCTTGTTGGATAACTCAAATTTCCTCTTCTTCCAGCTGTGGATATGTCGGACTTCCACTCAATAAATTTTCAGCTATCCACCATATCTGGAGGCCACTCCTCCATCCACATGACCCATTGAGCATGAACTAGACTCAAATTATGTAAGTTTTGAGGTTTTCACGGCGATGACAATGAAGAAAGTCGTCTTCTGGGTTTAGGCACCGTGTATTCTTCGTTTTGGCCAACATTTCGGAGGAACTGCTCTGAAGATGGAGGCGCTACGTTCCTCCGAAACGTCGGCCAAAACGAAGAATACACGGTGCCTAAACCCAGAAGACGACTTTCTTCATTAGACTCAAATTAATTTAGCATCTGTGGAAATCTTGGAACTTCAGTGTTCCTGTAGCATCTGTAGTCTGTTATATGCAGAATTTAGATATATGGATCTCTCTGCAGTAGAAAAATATAAAATACATCAGGAAATTTCCAGCAAGCATAATCTGTGTTAAGAAGTGAACATTATGTAATGTTGTATTTCAGCATCTTGTTGCGCTGCATTCTTTCCACATACTTACACATTCATCTGCATTTAAATTAGCATCAATGTGTTTCATACTAAAATATAAACACAACTCTATATTGCAGGTTACAGATACAGCAGTCACCACACACACTGCACACAAAGGAAAACTATACTTCAGGTTTCAGTATTGTATCCTAAAAAGTGTTATGACAGTACATAAAATGCAGCAGTTTCACCAAAACAGCTTTGGCGCACCTGATCATGGCCATGTAGGCTAAAACATGTTATTTAAATAGGACAAATAACGTGAAAGAATGAGAGTTTTAATTAAAAATCAGATTTTGAATTAAAACTTATGGTATAAATATCACAAAAGACTGAAAGAAACACATGCAGTGAACATTATGTGTTGTGTCTTAACCGTTTTATATATCTGAATCTTCAGGTACAATATAATTTTACTAAATGGCTATTTACATATTTAAAATTGTGTCCTTTGATTATTAAATTTATTTATTTTTTTACAGCTCAAATTCCTTATTTGCAATTCCAGCAAATCAGGAATTTGTGTTTGTTCAGACAAAGGTCAATCCATTGAGTGACAGAAATGCACATATGGTGAATTCTCTGGTGGACTTTTGCAAGGATCCAAACAATGACTGCAGCAGGAATAAGGAGGAGATTGTTAATACATTTTCCACACTTCACTTGGAACCAAATGGTAAGTTACACTGGAAATGTAACATTGAATTTGACTGGCATATGCCATGTAGTCCTTGAAAGTCAGCTGACATTTTGGAGGAACAGATCACCTCCATCTTCAGATTTGAAGAATAAGCCAAGCAAGAAACTTTCTTCATGCTCTTTGTAGCTTGTTTCATGCACACATTCTAATTGAAAGGTTGATTTGGCATCAGAGAAGTATATTAATATAATGAGCTTTGTGGACTGTAGGTTGCAGTGAAGAGTAGACAGAAACATATCTGTGCTCGGAACATAGTAGTTTAGTATGTACATCGTGTGGCTTCAATCTCGACAGATCACAGCTTCAGGAGTTTCCTGCAGCAGCACATTGACCAAGCATTCACAAAAGGCTTTGATGACAACGTGGGTAGACACACTGCACATGGATATTTTGAGGTAATTTTGTGACATGTCTCAGTCTTGAGATAATGATTCAGCTGTTCCCATCATTTTTATTCTCAGTGTCTCTCCTACTAGTTATAAACTGACTTGTGCGAAAGTGTGAAAAAGCAAAGTTATTTAAGTACACAATTCACAATTAACAGCTGCGTTAGGTAGAAAGAATTACAAATGAAATGCATGTATCCCTCGGTTTATGAAGGTAATTTGTTCCATGAAAACTGTTCATAAGGTGAAAATTTATAAATCAGAAATCGTAATCCCATTACTTTATGCATAAATGTCACTAACTTGTTAACATGTCCCAGAAAATGTCACCAGTATATTTTAATGTATGCTTTAATAGTAAATAATTATTAAAATGTGTACAGTATTACTTTCTTATGATATTTATTTTTATAAATAAAACTGTATTATTTTATTCATGTTTATTTTCTCATAGCTTATGCACTGCAACAGAGCTGTTCAGTTGCACATCTTCTTGGCAATGAAACAAATGTAGACTGCATACCGACATGGTAGCAACAGCAATGAATGATATTAATTTGCTGACAGGTGTACTGTCTTCAAAGGCAGTCAGGTGTGCCCTAGAAGCTGAATGGTTGTATAGAAATGCAGATAAATGCACAGACATTAGAGGGAAGGATATTTGTCCCTAACATTTGTTACTTATTAGTCCCCACAACTCCATATGTTGCATGTGTATTTCTTCACCTTCTCCCCTGCCTCCCACATCTTGCAAATGTAAATTATTCATTGTAGTGAGAATGAAGTTTATTAAATGAAAAACATTCTTTGTTGTATGTTAATAAAATGAGAGATACCTATAATTAAGACTCTGATGAACTCTTTTAAATATATGTCATAAATTGTTTAATATCTGCTTGAGAGTTGTAATAGAACATTACATTAAAGGAATGAAATATGTCACAGTCTAAACTCAGTAAAGACTTTCTTTTATTTTCTTAGCTGTAATAGTGTTTAGGAGGCCATCATTGATTGTTGAACATGTAAGTTCAAAAATATCCTTGTAAAATCCCTTGGTTCAGTTATCTCAGAGACTGTCGGACTATGGAAGAAATGTTGGACATAAAATCCGAATCCTCCCAATAGTTCTCAAGGTGTTTTGTGTGCAGAGACAGGTGGACTGAGTGATCTCAGTAGGTGCGCCACAGGATTGCAAGTGCACTAAAAAACACATTATTAATGAAGTAAAACTTTATTGCATCCATTACGGTGTCTACTTTGGGGTGTGGGAGTTTGACTGTTCCTACTCCTAAGCATCCTGCTTATACAGGGTATCCCAGGAGGAAAGGTCAGTATTCTTGGAGGTCCAGGATAGTGCAGTCGGCATGGCAACTGGCTACAGGCTGGATGACCAAGCGGTTGGATTTCAAGTCCTGGTGAGGGCAAGAATTTTTACTTCTCTGTGTTGTCCAGACCTACTCTGTGGCCCACCCAGTCTACTGTCGAATGGGTACCGGCATCCACTTTCCCCAGTTGAAGCAGTTGAAGCAGTTGAAGCATGGAGCTGACCACTCACCTCCAGTATTGCCAAGAACATGTGTCCTATTCCTAACAGTTTCCAAGACAGAGCTATTTCATGTTATTGCTCACATGAGGGAATGTCAGGATGCAATCAGACAACAGCATGCCATGTCCTGACACAAGTTGCAAAGTGCATTGATTTTGACAGTGGGATTTTCGAAAGTGTATTATACTAGGTAACCTCTACCGACTTTGTTACTAGAACAATAAATACTGGTGTTAGAAACAGTATGTAATAACTCATTCTTATCCACAATTTTGGACCTGTACAGTGAAATAGCCCTATCTTGGAAACCATTCAGAATAGGACACATTTATATGTACAATTTTTGCTTAAAATGACTGATACTATGACCTCCCAGAATATTGACCTCTGGGACATTCTGTATTAGTGTTCCCACAATGCATGATTTACATATCACGCATTCAGATTTTTATTATGCTTATGATATCATCTCTTACCAATTGATAGTCATCTGAATTTAGTTCTACATCACTCTCATGTTCTCCTTCTGTCCTCTTCAGTTCCTCTGTATACAGGGTGCTCAGAATAAGAGGAAGTGTGATGTTGCTACAAGCAATCCATCCTTACCCCTCATCCTTTCCACTGGAAAGTTCTGGAAGAGAGATTTAACACTTTGCGGACTGGTGGCCTATTTTTATGCCCAGCGCTTTTAAACCTGGCGGACCGGTGGCATATTTTTATGACTTTAGGGCACGTTAGATTGTAACACATTATACCTTTCTCTGGCGCCACCAAAATAAAATGACTACTGCGTAATATTATTCCAGAATGTTTGCTTAGTAGGCAGGAACTTGATCTCGCTGTTTGGGTACCCCTTCCAAAGGAAAATTATCTTTGACCCTTCAAGCTCTTATGTACCAGGCAGGAAGTTAGTTGCGCAATGAGTCAAGGACAGAAGCAGTTGAAAACCAAGCAATATCTGACTTGTTCTCTGACATGCTATCTGGTGTGAGCTATTTGACATTCCTTCTGAGACGTGTAGTGATAGTGATTTGACAGTGGCAGTGGCAGAGGACAACAAACAATTGTGGCTACAGACAATATAAGTGAAAGTAGCTCCGACGAAAGTGCAGGTAGAAGGGGAATGTTTCCAGAAATATCACACTCTCAAGCACTTCTAGAAGCATTGGTAAGTGTTCTCCAAAAATTTTGGTTCATAAAATTAATTAGGATATTTTATATTAATTTTTAAAGTGAAGAGTGCACAAGTTAGGGTAGTGGGTTAAAAAATGCCGGTCCCCAGGGTGATTTAAATATTTAAATTGCCGGTCCGCAAAGTGTTAAGTTTGAAGCTGTACATAAGAGCTCAGTTCAAGATTCTAGATTTTTCTTTTTGAACAATGACTTGCACTACTGATTAGAGATTTTTTTGTTGAAAAATACTGCCACATATTGTGATTGTAATTGATAATAATGGGTTCTGGATTTGATTGGGTTTATTGGCACTTCTTCACAATTACAGTCGATTACAACAGCTCACACACTGAACTCCTTCTGAGTGACATCTGTCTTGTGAATCTAACAGAAGAATCTCTCACTGCTGTTGGAACCTCGGACTGGTCTCTACAACACATCTAATTCATGAATGCACTGCTTTTCGTAACTGCCGCATGGACCTAATAGAGATCACTGCCTCCAACGGTTCAATTACTATTCTTCATGAATGCATTGTCTTGGAAAGTGTGTATTAATCCCCAAGCAACAGTTTGGTTTTCTAAGTGTTTATAGCTTTAAATTTCTGTACCACCGGAGACGTGTTTCATAATCAGTTGGTTTCCAAGAAACAGTCTTTCTGTGGCAAGGTATTTGCCAATTCATTTCCTACAGACAGCCTACATGTCACATTGTGTATGAAAGAGAACTTGGATGATGTGCAGGGAAAGATTCATCCTCAAATACACTGATTCACCTGTATGTACAAAATCTTGCACATCTGAACTTATTAAGAAGTGGCAGACCACAGGGTTAGTGCTTCATGCAACATGATATTGCAAGAAAATATTGCTCACTGATGGGAAGCTTGAGGACATTCAAATGCAGTTACAGGCAGGTGTGTCTGTAGGCTGTGCCTCTAAGGCAGCTAAATTAATAAAGTTTTATTTATGTAGAGTTACCATTATGCATGAACTCAAACCTGTCAGTGCTCTGCAGAGGGTTCAGTTTTGTACCTAGATGCTGAAAAATATGCACAGTGGACTTGCAGATCATCAGCTGCTTTTCATAACTGATAAAGCATACTTTCACTTCAGGGGTTATGTAAATTGTCAGAGCACCTGAATTTGGAGAGATGAAAATCCCTGAACAGTTTACCAGATTCCAGTACATGCCATGAAGATTTGGGCGTGATGTGCCGTAAATGTTAGGTGAATCATTGGTCCAGTGTTGTACCATGAAACTGTGAACTCAGGCTGATGTGTTAGGGTTGGAACATTTTTTTGTACAGCTGACTGATGAGGGAAAACATCATGGCTACTTTCAACAAGACAATGCTACTGTGCATGCTGCACAAATTCAGTGAGTGCATTACAAGGTGTTTGATGACAGAATCATTAGTACAAGATTGTGACCTCCAAGACTGTCAGGTCTTTGTGTTTGTGACGTCTGTTTGTGGGGGAACCTAAAAGAAAACATACAGGAACACACCTCACATTGCTCAGGCTCTCCAAAGTGAGGTGAGGGATGTGATTTCTTCAATTTCAGCTAACAGACTTTAACAGGGATTCCCTCGAAGTTGTGAGGTGTGTTTAAAAGCTGTTGGTCACTACTTCGAGGATTTTCTGTAGCATGTGAGATTTCTTCTCATCCTACCTTTCAGTTTCCTGTGTTACTTGAACAAATGGTTTCAAGTCACAGAAAGAGGGTGTTTATTTTTAGTAGTGATTCTGAACACAGCTTTATATGCACCACTTCCAGAAATAACTGATTGACCAGAGGTAGCAGATGGTGACATGGGCAAGGCTGAATGATTAGTTAGACACTCTGCAGCATTATGAAGTTTTCTCTTCATCTGAGCACTCAGTATTTAATTATATATCTTAATATTTCCTGCCAGTGGTCTGTATTTTTGCATCCTGGCATTCTCATTATATTTATTTCTGCATTGCTATTCTCAGTCTTCCATTGAAATATTTATTTCTTCACACTTCAATATATGGATCCATTCTTCCTCTTTGCCACATATGGGGTTGATCCCCTGTTCACTATTTATCCTGACAACTCTTGGTCCCCACTCCCCTATTTTTCACCATCTTTTCCTGAAATTTTGTTTTTCAAAAATAGCTCCTGCTATCTGTTGTTGCTGTGTGTGAACTACTAACAGAGATGTAACAGATGTTACATAATGTTACATAACATAAAGTTGGTGGCAAAGAATTTTGACAGTGGGCCTGTATCGAAAATTAAAGATATCACAAGTTGCACAGAATTGCTGGGTTTTTGAACTTTTTCCATAATCCAAAAACCCAGTAATTCTGTGTGTCATCCACCATCATCAGAACCCTTTAGAATCTAATATCATAAGTTGTCTGAAATAGGATTGGAAGGGCTTAGGCTGGTGCCACACTAGCACACAAAATGCGTTCGTTGTAACAAACGTCATGACGTCCGTTGTAGAAATAAACAAGAGAGGCAAATGCTATGCTTTCTTCTGGCTCCATTGCAGACAAAAAACTGTGCACCACATTCTGCAGCTGTGTAGTGTCCTCAGCAATGTTCGTCATAAAGTACGTTCATTGCAATGGACGTACTTCGTGCACTCGTGTGGCCCCAGCCTTAATTGGAAGTCTTCACCCTAATCTTAATTGTGAAGTTTTAATAATGCCATCAAATTGTGTTCAGATCCCAACAGCAGGTGTATGGTTTGAAGTATCAGACAAGGCTTTCAACATGTTTTTGAGCTGTGATCAATCACCAGACAGCAAAAGTAAATCACAGCTACAGCATCAGTTCCTCAGCTCACTGCGTGGCTTGTTGGATACTGATGTGAGGTTCAGTGAGGGTCGCTGTGGCAAAGTTTTACCTCTGGCTATTGCCACCTACCAGGAGAACTTGCCTCCTCAGTACACACGTGATTACCATGAGAGCAAGGTAAACCCATCATATGCATTTCTTGGAAATATACGAGGGTCGTACTGAAAGTCATGAACAACAATTTTTTGTAAAGTAACATGCTTTATTATTGACTAACCAAATACACCACATCAATCTACAGACCTTTCTTTATTTTTCCACATAATCGCCACTTCTTTATACACATTTCTCCCAGCATTCTGGGAGTTTGAAAATTCCCCTTCTGTAAAATTCCATTCCAGCCATCCGAAGACACTGACGCACTGCTTTCTGAATTGCCTCCCTTGTCTCAAAATGTTGTCCATGCAGCTGATCCTTCACAAATCTGAAAAGATGGTAGTCAGAGGGTGCCATATGAGGGCTATAGGAGGGGTGTGGAAGAACTTCCCACCCCATCTTTGCAGTTGCTTCCAATGTGACCTTAGTGGTCTTCAGTCAATAACCGTGGGACCCAACGAGCACAAACTTTCCTATAGCGCAAGCTTTCAATCATCTGTACTGCACTATGCTCTATTCTAAGTTTTCAGGCTATTGTGTCCACAGTCACATGCCTGACATCTTGAATGATCTCATCCACTCTTTCCTTGTTGTGTTCAGTTGAGGCTGTTCGAGGACAACCGCTCCAAGGATCATCTTCGATGCCGGTGTTCCCATCTTTAAAATATTTCACCAGTCTTCGAACACTGCTCGCACCCATTCACACACTTCCATAAGCATGCTGAATTCAGAAAGCAGTCCATCAGTGTCTTCGGATGCCTGGAATGGAATTTTACAGGAGGGGAATTTTCAAACTCCCAGAATGCTGGGAGAAATGTGTACAAAGAAGTTTTGATTACGTGGAAAAATAAAGAAAAGTCTGTAGAATGAGGTGGTGTATTTGGTTTGTCAATAATATAGCATGTTACTTTACAAAAAATTGTTGCTCATGACTTTCAGTATGACCTACGTATATATATAGGTTATAGGGTGTGCTAGTGCAGAAGTAGTGGTAGCATTGAAAAGAAATATTTTGAGCACCAAATAAAACAAAGTAAGAAAAAGAGTCAATTTTAATTCCATTAACACTTATTTAAATGACATTTAGACAATGGTAAGTCACGAATATCACATTGGTTTTATTTTTGTATCTTCTTTGGTGTGTATTGAGAAATAAGTTTATCATCCAGAAATAAGTGAATTGTAAATCTTCTAACTCCAGATTACATCCATGGTTAGTGGCTGCATTTTTCCTCACAGCTGATAGCCTATTTTCCATGAATAAGGGATCTTAAATCTTTTGGAAATTTGTGGTGGGCAGCTGCATTTGCACCAGCAATTGCAATAATGCAATGCTCGACTGGTTAGGATTCTTATTCAGAGTCACAGGGTGATGCAGGTTGAACTTCTGATCTTGCATTCATATCACTGTGCTGGAAAATGTTTGCACCTGTTGTAAAAGCATTTGTCATTTCATCTTCTTTTTACATGTCTTGAACCCTTAAAGCATTCCTTATATGTACGCGGGTCATTTCATAAATAATGCACAGGTTGGCAGCACTGTGGATTATATGACGCAACAACAGTGAGCCTCATGTCAGTTACAGTTCAGGGCTTGAGAAAGAAGCGCGTTATTTTGTTTCATTTATAATGTACTCCAGTGGTTATCAAACTGTGGGGCGCGACCTCCTGGGGGGGGCACACCATACTTTCCTACAGATAAAAATTAAAACTTCCCTAAATCAATTAGAAAAGTAACGAAAAATAAAAATACATATAGAAAAACTTTTGATGAGTACAGGCTTTAATTATATCATGGAATATCATGGGATAAGTGCACTGGCATACGAGTATGTTCAGATGGAGCTCGTTCAATATCTGGAGTCCATGCTGGATTACAAGCAAAAATTAAAGCTGTTGCTCCCAAAGTAGTATGGACCCACTGTATGATACATCGGGAGTCTCTGGCAGCTAAAGAACTCAGCCCGCCCCCTCATGAAGCGCTGCAGATGGTTGTAAAAACCGTCAATGTTATCAAGACAAATCCTCTGAAGTCTAGACTTTTTAAAATGCCGTGTGAGGAAATGGGTGCCGAACACACTGTTCTGTTGTTTTTTAGTGATGCTCGATGGCTTTCAAGAGGCAAAGTATTAAAGAGAATGTTTGAGCTGAGGCATGAGGTGTTCTGTTTTTAAATGGGGAAAATCACTCACTGGCAGACAGTTTCAGCAACAAGGATATTTTTTTATTGAAAATGGCTTACCTCACAGATATATTTGAGAAACTAAATATCCTCAACACTTCACTTCAAGGGAATGAGGCAACTGTACTTTCTTGGAATGACAAAGTAAAGGCATTCATGATAAAATTAGAGCTCTGGAGAAACAGTATGGAAAGTGACACGCTAGACATGTTCCCTACTCTGGTGTCAATGGTACAAGACACTGATAATCCAGTGCTTCCAATGGACATAAAAAGCTACCTACTTGATGATCATCTCATAATGTTCAAAGTTCATTTTGAAAAATACTTTTGCAATGATTTTGATGAATTTAATTGGATTAAAAATCCATTCAAAAGTGCTCCTGGGCCATCATCTCTGAAGGTAAATGAGCAAGAACAACTCATTGATCTCACTAATGATACTTCATTAAAAAATAAATTTAAGGAATTGTCTTTGCTGGAGTTCTGGATACATATTGGCAAGGAATTCCCAACTTTGAGCCAAAAAGCATTGAAGATCCTGATTCCTTTCGCAACAACTTAGTTATGCAAGACAGGCTTTTCTGCTTTGGCAGCTATAAAGTCAAAGTATCGTTCAAGGCTAAATATTGCTAAAGAAGTTAGAGTGGCCATTTCTTATATTACACCACGTTTTGATAAACTTTTTTCTCAAAAGCAGGCCCATCCATCACACTGAACTTTGACATTTAAATGTTTGATTTTCTTTGCAGAAAAAAAATTAAATACTTGTTAGTTAAATATCATTTCATTTCAATACATATTTTGGTTAATTGCAAGTGTTAAAACTATTTTTTATTGTAGGCCGAATATTGTGATACTTTAATTTTTAGTAAAAAAACTGCTAAATAGTATGTAGATAAACACAAAATAAACTGAATAAAACGTCAAACATACCATGACTTCTATGTTGACAAAAAAAGCAGGCTGGGGGCCTGAAAGTATTTTCTCTTGTCAGGGGGGGCTCAGAGGTAAAAAGTTTGCGAACCACTGATGTACTCTGTTCTTAAATAATTTGAGTTATGGAGCCTGCACGGTTCTCGGGTATTGTGACCCTTGAAGATCAAAGGTTGTACATTAAGATCGAAACTTTACATGGAAAAACCTGACAGAAATCCACAGTGCTTTAAGTGAAGTTTGTGGTGAGTTAACAGTGGACTGTAGTACAGTTTCTTGCTGGGCTAGTCGTTTTCGTGGCAGTCGTGTGAGCATAAACAATGAACCAAGGCCAGGAAGGCCGAAAACATCGACAGATGAACGAAGTGTGAAACTTGTGTCATATGCTTTTGAAGAAGATCGTCATGCGACATGTGAGGAACTTTCTGAAACCACGGGCATTCCACCAACGTCAATATTGCAAATTCTGACAAATGATTTAAAGAAGAGAAAGATTTCTGCGCGATGGGTCCCTCACTGCTTGACTGCTGAACAGCAGCAGAAACGCCTCGACATTGTAACCTTGCTGAAACAAAGATTCTACGTTGAAGGTCAAGCATTCTTGTATCGACTTGTCGCTATTGATGAAACGTGGATTAGAGACTTTGAACCGGAGCTGAAATCACAGTCCAATGAGTGGAGAGGTCCATCTTCCCCAAGACCAAAAAAATTTCGACGATCTCAATCAAAGGTCAAACAAATGATGATCTTTGCTTATGATCACCAAGGAATCATCATGACAGACAGAGTTCTGTGCGGGAAAAGTGTCACAGCAGTTTATTATTTTGACTTTATGCAAAATGTGCGCAGAAAAATGCACAAAAACCAACCTCAGTTGCTCGAGGCTGCACTGATCATTCTCCATGACAACGCTCGCCCTCACATGGGGAATGTCATAACAGAAAAGTTGTGCTAATACGGTTGGCAGGTGTTGCCTCATGCTCCCTACAGTCAGGACATGAGTCCACGAGACTTCAGCTTATTTCCAAAGTTGAAACAACCTATGTGAGGCCGTCGTTTTCCCTCTCTGGAAGAGCTTTCTGCTGCAGTTACCCGAGCCATTCGACAGATAAACAAAGATGGTGTCCTGGATGGAATAGTAAAGCTTCCCACACGTTGGGACTCGGTCATTGAGAAGCAGGGGGACTGTATTGAAGGACTGTAAAGAGATATTAAAAAAAATAAACATGAACATAAATAAAAAATTGTGTGCATTATTTCTGAAATGACGTACATATCTTAGTTTAATTCATGACACTTTCATGACTGCTTATGTTAGTGTTGAATTGAATGGTAGCTGGGGAAAACAAGTTTGGAAGGATACGGGAGAGAACCATCATGATGTATTGTGTGGCTTTATCACAACATGACTGGAGGGAGGGGGCTGAGGAAAACCATAACTATTTTCAGTCTCCTTGCAGGCTAAGAGTGAAACCTGGAACTTACTGACTAAGAGGTACCTGAGGACAGTATACTTGCAGTTGGTATTAAGCAATTGGCATTGATAGCAGTTGGTTTTCTTGGGAAGCAGGGATGTCGGGGAGTACCTGTACATATGCTGAGTAAGCACTCACAGACAGCAAAGAGGAAATGATCCTCCATCTTGGAGTATTGGCTGACAGTGTCTTGTTGTAGAAATTAACCTGTTGCAAAAAGATGAAGAAAGTTAGAGTGCTGTCTGCTGCTATATGATGCCAAGCCTTCTCATACATGTTCATTGATGTTTCAGAGGAACAGACTGCCTCCATATTCATGGTCAGACAGGATGTTGCCACAGCATGAAGGAGGTGAAAAATACACCATCATCCTTAAGATGGAGGCAGTCTGTTCCCCTGAAACACTGGTGAACACTGGATTGCATTGTGTCAAATGCGTCAAGTCACCACTATGAGAATATCTCAGATCCAACAGGATGAAGGAAGGATTGTAATTGGCCTACACTGGCTATGTTTTGCATTACTTCAGTCCATTGAAAGCTAAGAAGGACTGGGGCTGTACCTCCACAAGGAGGCGCAGGCTCACAGTGGGCTGTGTGGCCTTTATCACTGAGGTGGTGATGTACATGCTAAATATTTATGTACATTTTTGATTTTTGAAACTTTTTTACAAATTTCATTTTAGGTAAAACTAGTATGTAAGTAATGCTGTAGGACTTTTAACTTTATTTTAGCCATATCGACAAGGAAACTGTCTGCAACTTGTGTCTCTTTGTGGCTAAATGGCCATTGTGATACACTGCAGAAATTTAATGCTGTTTGACAAATTGGAGTTTTAAGTATTACAAATTTTCGTTTAAAAAATTGATCACATGTGTACTGAGAAACCTGTTTCTATTCCCTAAATATAGTTACTTTGTTGTGGTTTTAAGTAATCAAGTTATATAACGGTTATATATTATGGGGAGGGGGGGTGCCAGGTGGGGGATGGAAAATATCATGAAAGATCGAAAATCTTATTTTGGCATTGAGTGTATCAGTATTGTACAGTATGTGAAAATTGAAGGAAATTGACTTTTCATCAGTGAGCCATGCATCTGACAGTCATCTTTACACTCATACCTTTTATGTTATTAATATTTGTGGTGTATGGGACTCCTTCTCCCCATTATTTTCCCTTCACCACCTGATGGGCCATCTGCCAAGATCTGAAATAAGACCACTATTCTTGGTGATCTTAGCTCATGATCTTGTAGAGTGGGTTACTTATTTGAAATTCTGTCTTTACTTCCTAAGTCTAAATTATGTGTAGGTGAGACTTTACGCAGTATGTTGCCATTGGTATTGCTGTTTCCAAACATTTCTGCTGTGATATGTATTAGAAATGGAAGCTTTATTCAGGGAAAAAATGGGACTGACAGGCTGTGATTGTCATGGAATTTGGGGGGTTGCAACTGTGTTGCCAGTGCCTACTGAACATGACATAGTCATTTTGGGTTCAGCCACTAGCCTAAGCATATCATTTAATTGCATACTAACTTCATCAGAAGACAGGTGTTTCCTCCTTGTGTCATATGAGATTACCACTCTTCCAAATCACAGTTCGCTGTTATCAGTTTGCATAGCGCTAGTAGCACAAGGACAGAAGTGTTTCTCCTGCTACATTCTTTATAGTTTGTTGTTATCACGTTTAAGATCAGCGTGTCAACTCTCTGAAGGAAATGTAGGTAAGTGAAAGAGGATGAATTGGTTGCTTTGTTGCAGATATGTCTGAAATCTGCATTCTTTTCTTTGAGTTTATTGTATGTGATTAATTTGATTCTGTAAGGGCAGCTGAATGTTTATAGATAATGATGTTTTCTTTTATTTTTACTTTGTAAATGCCAGCCTGCAGTCCCGATCGGCCTAGATGGGGCACCAGCCCACCCCCTCCCCGAAACAAGTGTGTATTTTGAACCACAAACCTATATATACACAAACTCAGCCACCCACGCACTTCAACCTTGAAAATGGAGGCATCGTGAACATCCAAAATGTTGGCAACACTGAGCACATCTACACTAACATGAGCTGCTTTCTTACTCATGGAGCTGAGCCATTCTTGAGGAGCCGTCAGTTCTGCAGCTACTCAAAAATTTCCCAGCATTTTATGGAGCCCGAAGGTTCATTACCGTGTTCACAAGAGCCCTCCACTGGTCCCTATCCTGAGCCAGATCAATCCAATCCGTACCATCTCATCCTATGTCTCTAAGATCCATTTTAATATCGTCCACCTGCCTATGCCCTGGTCTTCCCAGTAGTCTCTTTCATTCTGGCTTTCCCACTAATATCCTATATGCATTCCTTGTCACCCCCCATTCATGCTACATGCCCTGCCCACCTCATCCTTGAACATGAGCTGCTTGCTTGTTGGAATATGTGCCTTGCTTGGATGACTACTGGAGCATGTTCATGTAACTAAACAAGTGTCACCTGAGGCAAGGATTTTATATCAGCACATGAGTCTGCTGTATGTTTTGCTTGAAACTTGATTATCCCTCTTAGCATATTCTCCATAAATGGATAGCCCTTCTGTCAACTCTGGTGTTTGTGTGTGTTTGCAGCTGGCCCATGCATTGTCTGTGTTTGCTGTTCATGCGCGGGGACCACTATTTGACCAGTATACAGCCCAGCTGGAAAAGGAGTGTGACCGCTACTGGAAGAATGGCCGCCAAATGTGTGAAGTTTTGAGTCTTACTGGAAACCCTTGTACCAACCCTTTGCACCGTGGGGGTGGTGAAGGTGCAGGGGGTGGAGAACTGCAAGAAGAAGCCAATAAGATCCATGATGATACTGACCCTCCTGAAAGGTTTGATATATTTATATATAGCACAGTGTATCATCATTAAACTAAAATGGCTGAAGCAACAGGAGGGTGGACAGAATTACTCGAGGAGGTCTGTAGTTTTTACAGTGATTGAGGCAGGTGATGATAAGATGGGCAGGGAATGGGAGAGGTGAGAAATGGATACAAAATTTTAGTCAGAAAATCTGAAGGTAAGAGATCACTTGTGAGCCCTGCTCATGGATGGAGGATAATACAGTATGCGCCAAAATATGCAATACTGAAACTTGCGTGTCTCGGACGCACATGTGCGTTTGTCGACGGTGTGTAGCTCCAGTTGCACGTGTTCCCAGTAGTGAAAAGGAAGTTGTGTTGTGCAGTTGTTGGAAATGAGTCTCTTGACAGAGAAAAAAGTATTCATATTTGAGTATTATTTCCGCTCATATGGAAGTGGTCATCAGACAACTCGCTTCCTTGATTTTGAGCTGCCAGATGTTATCATCCAGAAACCGCTGCATAGTACATGCGTGATGATATGGTGTGCCGTCTCAGCACACAGTATATTAAGCCCCTATTTCATTGAGGATGAGGAAGGCAATGCTCTTAACGTCACCCAAGAACACTGCAGGGACATATTGATCAGACCATTTCTTCAGGATTTGAGAAGGTTCTGTCATGCAAGGGGCCTTCACATAAGTAGACAGTGGTATCAACAGGACATCTTTTGATTTCAGTACTTTAATTTTGACTCATATACACACTCATACTCACAAGGAATTTCTGCTAGAAGGTCAAACAGTGAATTCTGATTATTATTTCGGAGTCCTCAATCGTTAGTGGGCGAGAATTCTTCGAATTCGACTTGAATATTGAGAGCAAGTTTCCTGGTCGCTCCTCCATGACAGTGCCCCACCCCACAAATTGAAGATCGTGCACGATTTTTTGGCCAGAAAAGGGATCACACTCCTTGATCATCCTCTGTATTCGCCAAATTTGGCTCCAGCAGATTTTTTATTGTTCCCAAAAGTTAAGTTGGCGATGAAAGGAGACTGTCACGTCACCACCCAGGACATCCGAAGGGAATGTACTGCATTTTTAAATGTGATTCCACAAAAGGAGTACAGTGACTGTTTTCAAAAACTTTTCAATTGATTCCAGCTATGTATTGATTCAGAAGGAGACTATTTTGATTAAATAGAGTGAAATTTTGAAAATAATTTACATCTTGTATTTTTAATGAACACAGTCCTAACAAAACCTGGACACACTGTGTATGTCAGTTAATTGAGAAATCTTTTGTAATCTGTGTTAGGTACAAGTAGCTATGTACACCATTTGTGGTCCGTATCCATAACTGATTTGGAATGACGTGTCAAACACTTTTTCACACTTGTCTATATGTTGTTACCTTTGATACATAAGATAATTATTCTTAAACATATGGTTATGTAAGGTTATCCATAAAAAAGATGTTTTTTCAGTCAATAAGTATTTCTCAGATTGAATTCATTTCTTACCGCTACATGTTTCGGTGCTCATGGGACCATCATCAGGCAGTGTATATATATAATAATATGGTAAAGATGAATGAATTCTCAATATGGATCCATTTTTTGGTGCAGTGCATCCATGTTGTAAAAGTTATTCCTGACATTACAGTGTGAAAATTGTTGTGTTGACGGATAACCTTACATAACTATATGTTCACGACACACAACAGGTTATACACTGTGAAAATAATTATTCTTAACTTAAAATGTGTTGATAGCCATGATCGAACCCAACTACCGCTGATGGAACATTCAAGTGGTGTTCGTTACATATCTGCATGCAACTGTGGCAGAAAGCAGGGCCCTCGAGAGGACCCATTTACTATGCGTGCTGCGAATTATGACTTCTATCAGCTTCTGGGTGAGGATTGTGGCTGTAATAATCTTGAGTCCATTCGTTTCCCTGTGTTTCAGCCAAGTACACAAGATTACAGGTATGAGCCCAACTTTTCTAGTTTTGTTAATGATGAAATGTATTGCATGTGATTGTACCATACATTAATTTTAGTAGAATTTTTTAATATCTTACATGTGTGAATGTGGGGGCATGTGGTAATATACAGTAGAACTTGGTTATAACGTCATCAAAGGGACCTAAAAATAGTGTCGTTATAAACGAATGTCGTTGTAACCGAAATGGGCACTTCCACAGTAGCCTTATGTTAGTCACGTAAAAATCTACCAAAAACCGAGTTAAAATGTTGCATTTTTTAGTGAAATATGTAGTTAAGTACAGACTAACGTAACATTAACGTGGAATTGCCCAAATGTGTAATATCAAAGACATATTACAGCGCTTTTCACTGACAATACACACAATATTTCACGAATCACTTTAACTTTCTCTTCAATGCTTAAAACTTTCCTTTTCATTGCCATGTTTTCGCTACTGCACTTCTCTGGGTTTAGGCAGGAACACTATAGGGTAAGTAGACAATGTGAGGTCCTGTTAGACGAGATTCTAGGAAAGGAATGCAGTTAACAACCTGCCGCGTCCTCTTGCACTATTCACGCAGTCCCACCCCACACCCTTGTTTTCGCATAAAACCCATGCTCCTCTTGCAGCCCGCGGTCGTATTCTTCCAGGACAGTCACGTCAGCAAGTAGAGAAAGTGAGGGTGGGCAGACACATCGAACTTTCCCACGATATCAGAGAAATTCAGGAATGAAAATGACGTTACATACGAGGTTGATGCATTTGTGCATGTCGTACCAAGCAAGGTATAAAAACAGTTGCTTTATGAGGAATTAGTTCATACCATTGAATATTTGACGCAATAGACAAGGTGTCGCAGAAACCGATGTTGCTATAACCAAGTTTTACTGTAGTTGGTTCAGGCACTATGCTACAAACCGGAAGGTCATGAGTTCAATTCCAGAACCTTTGTATCCTTCTCTGCTGTCTAAAAACGTAAAATTTTGCCAGTGGTTCTGTATGGGTGTGAAACTTGGTCTCTCACATTAAGGGAGGAACATAGACTGAGGGTGTTTGAGAACAGGGGGCTGAAGAGAATATTTTGACTGAAGAGAGATGAAGAGACAGGAGGTTGGAGAAAACTGCATAATGAGAAGCTTCATAACTTGTACTCTTCTCCAAGTATAATTAGAATGATCAAGTTAAGGAGGATGAGATGGGCAGGGCATGTAGCATGCATGGGTTTTATTATAGGGTTTTATTGGGAAAACCAAAAGAAAAGAGACCACTAGGTAGATCAAGATGTAGGCAGGTGGATAATATTAAAATGGGTTTTAGAGAGATAGAATGGAGTGGTATGGACTGGATTGATCTTGCCCAGAATAGAGACCAGTGGAGGGCTCTTGTGAACACAGTAATGAACCTTTGGGTTCCATAAAATTTTTGTAAGTTCTTGAGTAGCTGCACAACTGGCAGCTTCTGAAGAAGGGCTCAGCTATATGAAAGTTAGTTAGTTAGTACCACAGAGAGGTTGGATACTTCAGTATTGGTATTTGCGTGACACACAAGTTTGATTAGAATTACAAACCGTGTGTTCATGAAGAGTGCTGGCTTTTGGGTTGTGACGCTGTGTAGGCCAGTAGGTGCTTACCTATGTTTTGCTTTCATTTGCAGGGTCAAAGAATACACAAAGCAGACATTCAGCAAGAAGCCTCTTGCTGCCTGATTCTTGCTGGGTGCTTGCTTGGTGTATTCTTCAACCATACAGGTGGAAACAGTGCATTTCTCGAAAAGTCCATAAACTTCTATCAGACTACACAGCGTCACATCTTAGAAGATAGTACTCTCCAAAATTATAGATGTGAGAACCCCAAACCCAACATCAGTTCAAGGTCATGTGACATGTTTTGTATCTGTTGTACATACTGCCTTCCTTTCTCCTGTACAAACCTTGCCCTCACCAAAGCTACTGCTGCATTTACACAAATATTGTCTGTTTTTCACTCATTATTCTTAAGGTTCAAAATAGGCAGCAGGGACATTATGCAAATTATTTTTGTATCAGGTTCTTTCCGGTACATAACGGACATTGTTACATTTCTAAGATTTGTTCTTTTTGGTTTATAATAAATTTCTTTTTCCCTTTTATGACCTTTCTGCAGGTGTTAAACTGTATATATTTTGAAGTAGTCACTGGCAGTTCTAAGAAATTAATTAATTGGTTAGTTTCTCAAGTTGTGATGTTTTGCCTACAGAGCAGCTCAGCTCTTCTCTAACAGGACAGCCCCAGGACTGGGATGGAAGGATGGTGGAGCTCGAGGAATGGAAGGGAGAGAGTTGAATGTTGGTACGCCACAAGGAAACACACAAGGGTTCAGCTTGGGTAAGCAGGAATAAACTATATTATTCTTTTCCATGTTCTCACTTTTCAGAGAAAGAGATATAGTCACGGCTTTTACAGAGCTGGATCTAGTCTAGTTTTGTGAGATTTGAGGTCTAGTTTTGTTCTGATGTGGTGTATGTAGCCTGTTCGTTTAATTTTTTAAGTCTGTGCTGAATGACCTATGGACTAGGAGGTTCTAGCAGAGTTAACGAGTCATCTTTATGAAACCAAGTGACTTTTCATAAGGCTCCATTGAATAAGGTGCTGCGCTGCGGCCTCCGTAGTCTAGGGGTAACGTTCCCACCTCATGACTCAAGGTACGTGGGTTCAAACCCGGCAGAGGTCATGGAATTTTTAAGGGCGGAAAAATTCAGGGAACAAGTCCTCTGGGAGGGACTTTAAGCCGTGTGTCCCGTGTCATAGATTTACAGCATGTAAAAGATCCTCATGTCTCTAGGAGACCTCTGAGCAAAATTAGGCAAAGTTTCCCACCCAAGTAGTTTCCAATTCCTCCGGTAGATGGGGAAGTATCGGGGACCACTGCCAGAGAGGTGGCCGACCTCGCTGGCTGATAGGGGCTGATAGCGAGCACCAGTACTGGAAGGGCATGGCGACTGGTAGAATATCAAAGGGGGACGTACAATAGACTATTAGTCGTGGTGTATGGGGAAACCCACCCCCTCCACAAATAATAATAATAATAATAATAAGGTGCTGTGCTTCATTTGAAGGCAGTGGAGGGGTAGGTGTTACAGGAAGGAGATGCACAATAGATCAAAGCAGCTGCAATTCAGGGGTTATTAATCATCCATGCGTTTAATATGATGTTATTTGTGTTGGTATTATGTGTTATTGATGCAGTCTGGCCTCCCTCAGACTCATACACAATTCTTCCAGTGGCTAAATGCCTACTGAAAGTTTCCATTTTATGATCAAAGGTGGTACGCAACAAACTGGAATAGCATTGTGCTAGATCAGGGATAGGTTAACACTGTAATCTGTTAGGAGTCTGCTGCCTTGAATTATCATGGTGGGGAAACTGTGTATCATGAAACAGTCCCAGTCTCTTCCATTTATAGCATGGCAGTACATTGTGTACAATACCTGCATGTATGATTCTTCATCACTTATGATATCACTGTACACCTGATACACATATTCTATTGCTATGAGATATGGTCACTTGAGTGTGATCAGGTTGAAATTACACAAACCCACCAAAACTGTAAGAAGAGTATAATTTAAGTTGTTATTTATACATATGTTTCAGGCCAGATCTATCATGCAAAGCATATGTTAATCTTACAATCACATTTTTAAATATTTCATGGAAACTTCATAGTAGAAAACAGGAATCAGAGAAGTTACATTTTTGTGTGTTAACAAATAGCTGATTTCCCAAGAAAAGAAAGACATGCAAATGGTAGGGAATGATAGGTGGCTAGGCTCTGAACAGATATAAGTAAAAATGTAAGGTTTGAAGAGTTTGTTTCAGTAAACAGAGAGCTTTGTACTTCTCAAACAGAAGAGATTCATGATGACACATTAGAGATAGCTGAAGATGAACCAGAATCGAGATGCAAAGGTGAGAGAGACTTACAGAAGTCAAAATAATGAAGTTCAGGTACACTAAAAACATTTTTCTTACTCTGCAACGTGAATTCTTAATAGTATTCACAGGTTTCGACTAGTTTGCTGCAAGTTAAATTATCATTCCTATCAAAATATTGTGGATGATTACATTCAAAACCATTCCACTGTTTACATTATAAATTTTTAGTAACATTTATTGTATTAGGAACAGAACATAAGAGAAAATTTATATTTAGTATGAAGAATGTAATATGACAATTATCAATATTAGGAGCAATTACTGGCCCATCATCCGTAATAACTTCGATCCTCAGATCAGTTCTTTGTTCACTCACTACTTCAGAGCAACACCATTGGTTGCAATACGACATTTACTCACTTCATTTGACTGAGCTACACTGAACTGAACTGAACTGTACTGACAACTGAGAAACTTGACAGTTCGCCAAGTGACTGTCTCAGTAACTTTGAATTCCACTAGAGTTCCCTGCACGGAACTGAGCTGAAAACTGGCTAACTCACTCACTGTTTAGCTTGCTAGCTTGCTGCCTACTCCTTTTATAGGTATGTCACCTGTGGGAAGGTTTCTAGAATGTTTGCGAGCAACCTTGGCCCTCCATGTCAACCAAATGGTCCCTGAATATTCCAGACAGTAAGAGAGGTGTGCACAGAAGAGGCAAGATGATCCCACTGCTCTTAGCTCCCACAACTCTCTCACTAATGGAGCTGAGCCCTTGTTGAGAAGACGCCAATTGTGCAGCTACTCAATAACTTCCCAGCATTTTATAAAACCTGAAGGTTCGTTGAGCAAGATCAATGCAATCTATACCATTCCAGCCTATCTAAGATCAGTTTTAATATTGTAACATGTGGCCTGGGAGCTGTAACTTGCCCATCTGCTGACTGGGGCTTTGTGACCATGTTGCCATGGCAACACAAAATGCAACATTACATACGTCTCCTAAGCAACTTAGACATTTCCTGCGCAATGGAGTTGTCAGTTTCATGACAAATGAGGAATGAACTATGTGACTCAGTGTCCCCTATTTGGTATGCCAAGCAGATATATAAGGCTGGGCACACACCAAGGAAACTGGCAACCGCGATTTCCGAGAAGTGTTATCAGCCAGAATTGAACACATGTTAATAAATGGCTCAGCACAAATTGAGAAAACGGCAACGCAACTCGCGGGGAGATTGAGAAACTCAGTTTCCAGGCAACGGAGCATGCCAGTCTTCACAGGATTGAGTTCAATTGAGTTGCCACATGGACTGCTAGAAATCAGCTGTTCTTTAATGCGCTTCAGTGATTGAATTGTTTATTAAGATGGCACAAATAGTTGACGAAGCTGCTAATTTCATCTTGTGGAGTTAATTGAGCAAGATCCTGACATATATGACAAACGCCGTCCAGACTATGCNATAGGATCAAAATACAGAATAATACTGCTAAAACTGCAAACAGCTACTACAATATGACCTGCATTTTGTGATACAAGTCAGCAGTTGGGTTAGTCCCCATCCTTTACAATTATCAGCTGAATTCAATTAATATAACTCCACTGAGAAGGAATTGCTTCTGCTGGTGTTAAGGAGTAATCAGCCAGCTGATTTCACAGGTGCTATGCCCTTGACAAACTCTGCCTTCCATCATCATTATCATCATCATTTTGATTATAATAAACAATGTAAAGAAAAAACTTCTAGCAGTGTTATTGTATTTGCTTAGAGATCTGCAGAATCTGTATATCAATTAAAAGATAAACTTTCTTACCTCAGAGTAATCAGTAGTTTTTCTTCAACTGACACACTCATCCACTCATGGAACTGAGCCCTTCTTGAAAAGCCGCCAATTCTGCAGCTACTCAAGAGCTTCCCAGCATTTTATGGAACCTGAAAGTTTATTACTTTGTTCACAAGAGCTCTCCACTGGTCCCTATCCTGAGCCAGATCAATCCAATTCATACCATCCCATCATATCTCTCCAAGATCTATTTTAATATTGTCCACCCACATATGCCTTTGTCTTTCCAGTGGTCTCTTTCCATTTCGCTTTCCAACCAATATCCTATATCCATTCCTGTTTTCACCCATTTGTGCTGCATGCCCTACCCACGTCATCTTCCTTGACTCAGTCATCTAATTATACTTGGAGAAGAGTACAAGTTATGAAGCTAGTCATTATGCAGTTTACTCCAACCTCCTGTCACTTCATCTTTCTTTGGTCCAAATGTTATCCTCAACACCTTGTGTTGGAGTGATATCATTGTTCTGAACGTTCATGCCCCAACAAGATAAAATTGATGATATAAAGGACAGGTTCAATGAAGAAATAGAACATGTATCTGATAAATTCCTGAAGTACCATATGAAAATTCTATTAGGAGATTTCAATGCCAAAGAAGGTAGGGGAGATATTTTCAAACCAAAGATTGGGAATGAGAGTTTCCGCCAAAGAGAGTCTAGGTTATTATGAAATGAAGAAGCATAAGCCATGATTCAATGAAGAATGATCAAAATTATTAGACTAAAGAAAACAAGCCAGATTGCAGTGGTTACAGGATCAAAGCAAAATAAATAAACTTTCAACTTTATTTTTCTCCATAACTGAAGTGAATACAATTGGACATGTCAAGAAATAATAGTGAATACATCACATGTCAAAGTCACATAAAATTTACAAAATGATTTATCACGACACTATAACAACCATTATAAGGAACATAACAATAAAAATACATAAGACCAAAAGAAAAATATCAGTAATATAAAACACATAAACACAATATTAAAAATTGCAAACCCAAAGACAATCAACAAGCTCATCAAGCCAACATTAGTTGAAAAACTCTTGAAGAGAATAGAAAGCACTGCACAGCAAATAATTTTTCAGTTTCCTCTTAAAAACATTAAAATTTTCAATGCTTTTCAATTCAGGGGGAAGGCCTTTAAATATTTTAGTTCCCATATTAATTACACCTTTTTTTGTAATGATCGGTATTACAAAATTGGACGTACAAATTACGCGTATGTATGGTATTGTAGCTGTGAATGTCAGAATGCTGAGTTGTATAGATCTTATTTTTTATTATAGAACTTAAAATCTCAAATATATATAATGAGGTAAGAGTTAAAATCTTAAATTCACCAAACATATTTCTACAGGACACACTATTATTAACACCTTTAATCACTCTTAAATATATTTTCTGTATTTTAAATACAGTTTTAGAGTCCTTAAGGCCCCCACCTCAAGAAATAATACCATATTTCAATACAGATTCAAATTTAGTAAAATAAACATTTCTTAATACAGGTGGGCTGAGTAACATAAGGATTTAATCAAATAAAGAGCCTTTTTGAGCTTTTGGCATACATATTGAGTGTGAGTTGTCCAGCTTACATTTTCACTAATACAGATATCCAAAAATTTTATATTTGATGAATAAATGATTTCCTTATTATTTAGGCAAAAATAATTTCTATAGATTGGAGTAGGTCTTCTTCCCTGAAAGAATAATACTTTAGTCTTATCTGTGTTTATTATGAGATGATTTTCATGGAACTAATAGTCTAATTGATTCCTAACTTTTAGGATTTCTTCATTTAATGATAAAAGCTTATTGTCAGTAAGTAGTATATTTGTATCAGCAAATAATACAACCTTAGCCTCATGAATAGCTAGGGGCTGAATCATTTATGAACAATAGAAATAACAGGGGTCCCAAAATAGAACCTTAAGGTTTTATAGCCTCAACAATGTAAGATGTGAAACCAGTAGGCATTTCAGGAATAAAAAGAAGGAATATGTGAAAGACAAAATTGATGAGCTTGCAATGAACAGTAAGAACAAGAACATTAGAGACCTGTATAAAGGAATAAATGACTTTAAGAGGAGTTAACAGCTTAGAAGTAACTTAGTGAAGGATGAGAATGGTGATGGGCTTGCAGATTCCCACAATATTTTGATTAGGTGGAAGAACTACTTCTCTCAGTTATTGAATGTACATACGGTCAGAGATGTTTGGCAGATAGAAATATATACAGCTGAGCTGTTAGTACCTGATCCTAGCCCTTTTGATGTTGAAATTGTTATTGCAAAATTTTATCCAATATTCTTGTCTCAATGTTATGTCCATACATAGATGAAATTATTGGGGATCATCAGTGTGGATTTTGACATAACACATCAACTACTGATCAGCTCATTTGCATTCATCGGCTACTGGAGAAAATGGGTGTACAGTAAGACAGTACATCAGCTATTCATAGACTTAAAGAAAATCTATGATACAGTTAGGAGGGAAGTATTGTACAGTATTCTCAGAGATTTGGATACCCATGAAACTAGTCAGGCTGATTAAAATGTGTTCAAATGAAACATATTGTAAAATCTGCATAGGTAAATATTTGTCTGATAATTTCCCTATTCAGAATGATCTAAAACAAGATGCTTTATCACCACTCCTTTTCAACTTTGCTGTAGAATATGCCATTAGGAAGGTCTAGGAAAACCAGGTAGGACTGAAATTGAATGGGACACATCAGCTGTTAGTGTATGCTGATGTGAGTCTACTGGGTGATAATATAGATACCATAAAGAGAAACACAAAATCTTTAATTGACACAAGTGAGGAGGTTGATCTAGAAGTAAACACAGAGAAAACTAAGTATATGTTGCTGTCTCTTCACCAAAATGTAGAGCAAAATCCTGACATAAAAATAGATAACGATGTCTTGAAAATGTGGCAAAGTTCAGATATTTGGGAATGGCGATAACAAACAAAAACCTGATTCAGGAGGAAATTAAGAGGAGATTGAACTAGGATAATGCTTGCTACCATTCAGTCCAGAACCTTTTGTCTTCTTGTCTGCTGTCCAAAAACATAAAAATTAGAATATACAGAACTATAATTTTGCCTATGGTTCTGCTGACACAGCTTTATGAAAATTTGTATCTTGTCTTCGAATTTGAGGTCCTACAAGATCCAC